CGCCGGCCGAGGCGCGCGCCAGGCTGAAGAAGTCGCTGTCCTCGGAGGCGCTGTGCACCTGGGAGCGCTTGCGCGCCGGCGCGTCCCGTTGGCGCCGCTTGGCCGAGCTGGCGCTGCTGAGGCGGCGCGGTAGGCGGAGCGCGCGGGAGATGCCCACCCGTACGCCCTGCGTGCCCGCCCCGCCCCCGCCGCCGGGCTGCCGCTGCAGGTGGAAGTTGCGCGCCGAGTAGCTGGACGTGGACGTGGTGGTGGACTCGACGGAGAAGCCGCCGTTGCGGATCTTCTTGGACGCCCTGAGCGGCACCGACGACGGGAACAGCACGGAGGTGAACTCGAAGCTCTGCGGCCGCGATTTCGACTGCTTCAGCTTGTTGACGGACCTCCGGAAGACGCGCTTGATGCCTCCTCCGCCCGACGAAAACGACTTCTTCCGGTTGACGCAGCCGCCCCCTTTCCGCCGGTTCATCTTTTTCCTTTGCCGTCTCATGATGCTTTTACTCCGCTGGTACAGCTCGTCTTTCGTAAGTGTTACCGCCAATTTCAAAAGGAACTCTTTGTAGATGGGTTTGAGGTCATTGAATGACATTCCCTCTGCGTCGATGATAGCGTTGAGAATGTCGTCCATACTGTTAAGCCCCTCCTGAATTCTGAACTCCGCGAAGAGCTCCTTGAAGCCTAGTGGGCTGCCGTTGCCGCCGCCACCACCTCCTCCTTCGAAGCCCCCGGGCCCAAACCCGGGGCCCATGGACTGTCTGCGGCCGTAGCGCGTGAGCGGGCCGCCGGCATTAAGGAAACTCCTGCTGCGCGGGATGGCGACTTTCGTCAAGATGTCGCCGCCCTCGTAGGAGTCCACGCCGAACGGCGGCAGGACGGCGCTGGCGTTGTAACCGTGCAGGTCGGAGGCGGTGCGCCGCACGCCCAAAGGCCCCTGCTGCACGGCCACGCCCACCGTCCCCGTGCAAGGCTCGCTCTCGCTGCGGTTGTGCCTTATTCTGGACGGCGCGTCGCCACTCGGGTCCTTACTCCTCCCGCCGTTCTCCATCGGCTGGGGGGACTTGGACTGCTTTGGCGGGAGGCCCTTCTGAATGACGATGGGCTCTTCGCTGTCCTCGCTCGCGGACGACGTGGTGGACTTGGTTTTCCGCCGGGGAGGTCGTACCGGCACCGGGGGAGGGATTTTAATGGAGGGCGACCGCTTGGGGAGGGGGATTGTGTCTTTGGGCTCGGGGGAGTTGGTCTTTGGGGGCAGCTTCGGGGGCGCGCCGTTGCCGTTGGACAGCGCTTCCTTGAGGTGCTTGCGCACGGGCAGGGCCCGGTCGTCGCGCCCGCTGAGGACGCTGCGCACGTCGGGCGGGTCGCCCGCCACGCTGCTACTGGCCAGGCTCACGTAGCTCACGCCGTTCTTGTTCCGCGGGCCCTTGCTGGAGTGCCCGCCCTGCTTGCCGTGCTTGCCGTGGTTGCGCGTCTGCATGAAGGCCATGAGCGCCTGGTAGAGGTTGGCGGCGATGACGATGGCGTCCTCGGAGCACGCGCACACGAAGCCGTGGCACTCGAGCTGGCGCGACACGCCCAGCTTGCGCATGACGACGGCGAACAGCGGCGAGTGGTGGTTGTAGCTGGGGTCGATGTCGGCCGCGGACGCGCCCGCTGCCGCCTCCACTGCGCGCTGGTCGGCCGGGTTGAGCGGACGGAAGAGCGCGCCCTTGTCGATGGCGTCGGGGTCGGCGATGAGCGGCAGGAAGGCGTACTCGAGCGCGCCGTCCTCGCTGCGCCGCCGGCTCACGAACTTGACCGCCGCCCACACGGCGATGGTGGGGAACGGATTCAGTTGCTCGAGCTCCGTCTGGTCGGGACCGCCGCCGTGGTGCACTTTGAGGCCGCAACCCGAGATCTCGAGCGTGCCGCTGGACGGTTCTTCCTCGCCGCCGCCCGCGCCCTCCCGGAGCCGGCAGTACGCGAAGTACAAGTCCGACAGCGGCCGTTGCAACCCCTGAAGAGACGTCACTTTGTCGTGGAGCGCCACGGACCCCAGGTAGTCCACCCCGAATCGGTTACACGCGATCGCCTTGGCTTGGGAAAGGTTCCGCATGATGTTGAGGTCGCCCGACGTGGCCATCTCGGAGAACATCCGCTCTATCCGAGCTTGTACGGAGTTGTTGATGCGGCGTTGCCGCTGTTCCTCCTCGCTCTCCAGCCGGTGGTAGATGGCGTGGTCGGACATTCTGCGTCCGCCGCCTCCTCCCCCGCCGCCTCCCCCCGCGCCGGACAGCTGCGAGCGCGTCTCGTCGAACATGGCGTCGATGCGCTGCTTGTAGAAGGAGTAGACGCTGGCGGAGGTGGCGCTCTCGCGCTCGCCCACGCTGGCCGCGTCGCCGCCGCCCCCGCCGCCAGGGCAGAGGCGGAAGCCGTAGACGCTGCCCCCGGCGCCGCCCCCGGCGGGCGGGTGGTCGGTGGAGTGCAGCGGGCGGTGGCCGTTGGGCACGATGAGGTCGTCGTCGAGCGCCGCCGGGTCCGCCAGGCGACGCGTGGCGCTCGCCGCACGGTCCTCCGTGCACTTCACCATGGCTGCGGCTGCGGGCCCAAGGCGTCACAAGGGAGCGCAGGGAGGCGGGCCGCCGCGCATGGTGGACAGCTGTGGACACACACAAGTGGAATTAATTTCTGAACACTCATTGTATTCGCAACGACTATGATTTAGTACTTAATTTTATTATTGATTTGGTAATAATTACTCGTACATGAATGGAACACCCAGAATCTTTAATAAATTAGTGTATTCGCGAAACAAAAGGCGCGTAAAGTTAAATTGAAAAAATCCTAAAACTGTAGTTTTAGAAATAATATTTCCCAATCTGTTTGAGTACGGTTTTTCTAAACAAATAAGTTAACATTAATTACATGTTATACTACTCTAATTTGCTCTTCGAAAATTCCTGATAACAATAGTGTGGAGGAAAGGGAGGCGTTAATACCTCAGGTTGTTTAGGACGCGAAATAATCTGGCACTGGCTCTGCCTGTAGGTCGGAAAATCTATGGCAAGAAGAAGATTCAACTCCGGTAGTGGGGATATGTATGAAAAGCAACATCTCGTGGTCAATAGAAGATATGTTTAAGGTATGTTCGGCCAATGGCCAACAAGCTCTTATCTCAAGTCACCACCATCTACACTTTCTGAAACTCTCTAAAGTAAGATAGCGTTTGTCAACTACGTACACATCGCAATTGGCCAAAAAAGCCGAAATAAGTTTCTTCATTCACCTCGTGATGTCGCTGAAGCAAAGTCAGACCGATTTACTTGCCTTTTTCGTACAGACTTTGTGATCTGCTGATAAGAATGTGTGAAAACCAGAACGGAATAAGTGACATTTTATGAATTTTGAGAAATCCGTTTATTTAAGTCAATATCACTGTAAAGTTGTGATGCTTTGTTTCAGCATTAAAACCACGAAAATACATTGCAACTGACGTATAGCCTAAAATAAACCCATTTTCACAGAATTTATAAAATGTCACTTTTACCGTTATGGTTTTCACCTATTCATATATTTGTAAATATTCGGTGTTTGAAACAAAACATTGCTGGCATGAAGATATACCTATTGATCTGTATATGCAGTTTCTAAGAATTTGGAACTTTGCTTTCGTTTTTGGTTAAGTTTTATTTTTTTTATATGAAGAACAGTAAAATATGAGCGAAATATTTAGAGTTATAGTTGCGGCATTTCACAGGGATCTGCTCATTGGGGATTTCGAAATCCACATTTTGGAACACGTTATTTTTTTAAGCCTGCCAGATAGACTCTAAATATCTGTAAACGCTAAAATAGTGAGTGTATCAGCGTGTACACAATGAGTGTAACAGTGTGAGATGTATTTAATACATTAATTGTCTTTGCAATGTGATGAGACAAAAAAATAATTTTTTCAACTCTTAGAAAATGATGTCGATTGATGAAAAATCTGAATATTTATGTTGAATTTAGATTCCGCTACAGCGGTGAGTATCGGAAAGAAATTTAATTTTCAGAATGTATTCTTCAATAGTTTATTAACAGGATATTTATGAAACAGATGCACTAATATTATTTTCTAAAATTTTGTTTGACTAATTTATCATCTATGAACTATGTCATCTGTAATACCTTTGTTTAAAAATATGTATTTTACTTATTGTTAAGAAAATTCTTCGACACATGTAATGAGTATACAATTTATTTGGTTGTTTTTCTTTGAAATTGTAAAGCTGCTTGTCATTAAATTTGTGATATATACAATGCATTACACATGTGAAGCAACCTTTGTTGCATCATTTCACGGGAAACAAATTAATTGATTTTGAAATATATCGCCCAGAATTACACAGCAGGCAGCAGTGGCATAGAATATGCGAGAAGAATGATATGTACGAATAAGTTACAGTGTAGCGTGATGACCAATGGTTGCTGGTTTGTTTCCTTGTCGCGCGTCACATCTTTATTTATCGCTGCTATTGCGTGCACCTGCTTTATTTTTGTACAAAAGAGACTAAATCTGGAGAGATCTCGAGGGGATAAATTGGCGAAAACTATCTTCAACAGTTCTCTATTATATTTTTACGCTGACTTTCTTACCGAATTGAATTAAAACAAATATAATACGATTTCAAACGAAAAATTTTAATAATGATGTTCCTTTACACCATAATGGGGTCCATCCGTACACATCAGACGAGGTGGCCGAGTGGTTAAGGCGTTGGACTGCTAATCCAATGTGCTCTGCACGCGTGGGTTCGAATCCCATCCTCGTCGGAATTTTTGATGGCCGGCGCCACTTTCACGCGACAGATGAGCGTCGGCGAAGCGCGAATGCAGCGGTCGCGAGGGGGCGGGGGGCGCGGGCGAGGCGGGGCGGAGCGGAACGCGGCGGGGTTGACGCCGGGGGCGGCGAGTCGGGCGCGCGCCAGTGCGTGGATCGTCAGGGCTGGCACAGCGCCTCCGCGCCTACGATAGTGCGGTGCGATATGGCGCAGCCACGGACATTGAACTTGGACGTGGTGCGTTACGTCGGAATAATTGAAATCATCGATTGTCTCTGACGTCAACGGGCACACGCGCGTCCTCTGCCGCTTCGATCAACTGATGTAGCGAACAGGGTGGCGTAGCAAACGCATCAGCACGCCTACGTTTTCTGTTGCTGTAAGTTCCTCGTAAGATAATGAAAATTACTTTTTTGATGTTCACAGTAGATACTAAAACGAAGCACGAAAGGAAAACATTTTTAATGCACTATTAGTAATTGACGTGTTTTGTAATTATATGGAGTAAGTGACAAAATTGAATTTTTCAAGTAACAAATTTCTTTTATTACTTAATTAAAGAGAAAACTTTCTTCCACTTTTTTCTTTCGTGTTTTGTGAAATTTTTTAATCAATATGAAAGTGTTAGATGACAAAGACTAGAAAGGAATCGAGAACCATTATAGCACAATTTCAATAATGAATTTCAAATTACCATAAGAATTCTTTTAATAATTGTAATGAATAATAACAATAAAACGACGAATATATATATATATATATATATATATATATATATATATATATAATGATAACGGAATGATAAAGCGCTGAATCTCATATCTCTGTTACGAAATCTGTAGTAAGTTTCTCGCAAGTTTGAAAGCAACAAGTAGAAGGGCAGATTGTGATACTTCATTAAATAAAAATGAACCAATTCAACTAACGATAAAAAAATATGTACACGGCGAATTTTCGGCAGAAAAATCTTTTCAGGGTCCTGGTAACGAAAAAGTGGAAAAATCCAGTTGCTAATTTAAGGGGGGGGATCCAATAACACGCGGTGGAGCCAGAATCCATGTTTTATGAGTCCTTTAGCCGAAAAATCTATTGAGGACAAAACGTCTGACCATCTGTTTGTGAACAACGCTAGTGGCTATAACGTTCAGCTCATTTTCTCCAAAATTAATATTCACCGATCGATCTGGCTGATGTCGCTGCCTCTCGAATTTGAAACCGATATTTTAATTTTAGAGGATACTGTGGTCCTAGACCATTTTCAAATTTTTTAAAGAAATAGCTACATCGATTTTGATTAAATTCTGTTGTTGGATAGTCTGAAAGACGCTTAAGAGAATGGCGCAGGTATCACGTTGGTCGAAAACCCTAATTTTTCGACAATTTTAGAGGTGTTTTGAGCAGTTGGATACGAAGTTAAAAAATGTATATTATTTCATGTTTCTTTGTTCGTTTCTTACATTGGAGTATTTGTTAAACGTTTACAAATTAATATTTTAGAAACTATTGAAAACCTACTTGAAATAAATATAAAATAAAGATTGCTAGTCTTCAAGTCGCCCGCTCCCAATTTACGAAGTTGGATGCAAACGTTAGTTTGTGCATTATTTAATATTTAATTTTATTATTATTATTTGTATATTTATTCAATATTTATGTTATTTAATTTTAAATTGCGTCTTTTAATTGTGTTTAATATGAAATTGAATAGATGAGTGGTCATTGTTGGTTGTTGTAATCCATTGTTGTAACACCGCACTGATATAGAAGGCGACAATGACGGCTGCCTTTCATTCGCAGTAATATCTACTAATACTTTTATATTTGTAGAATATTACAAACCATAGTGTTTAATAATAATTATTATATATTTCTCGATGTATTTGCATTTGTTTGCCAACGCTAGCTGTATCGAATTATTTATTAACTTTTAATTATTTTACTTTATCGCATACTGCTAACGAAGAATATTACAAATTTTTTGTAACGACGAAAATAGGTTACGGTAGACGCTTTGCAACTATTTTTCTATACCCTAATAATAGCAATTTTGGTGATAAGTGTTGTTAAAATGTACCCGTAGGCGTTAATACGCGCCTTTGGAGGGGGGTGGGGTGGGGGGTGGAATGTTCCGGAGCAGCTCCGTCGGCGACGCCGCGCTGCCGCCACGCCACGCTGCGCTGCGCTCTGCCGGTCGCTTCGAAAGCAGATAACGAGGCCTGCGTCACGCACAGGCCGTAAACGCCGCCACCGCGCCGGCCGCTCCACAACTCTCCTCTGCTGCGGGACCATAAAGCTGCTTGTACCCCTCTCCACGTCAGTCCATCAAGCATCCATGACTCGAATTCGAATTCAGTCGTCAAATGGAAACAAAGAGACTTGAGTTTTCTTCTTCGACGCGCTTCTCGGTTTAATAAAGATTGAGATTTTTTCGTAGATTGCGAATCAGCTGTAGTATCGCAGGTCAGTGGCTGGGGAAGTCGATGGGGAAGCGGAGAATTGCCTTATCTTTGAAAGGTATTCGATACGTTATAAAAATTAATTAAACATTTTCATTGCGAAAAATGCAACAGAATTTCAATATATGAATATATGAAGGTCGAGAAAATTCAAGTTCATTGACTTGATGTTCAAAAAATTCAGAAACATTGATTGATTGTTAGTGGTTCCAGGCGCGTCAACTACTAGGGTCATTCGTTTCGTAAGTATAGTGTATGTTTTTGCTCGGGAAGTGATCTTCTCCCGTGGGATAGCGCGATCTGGCGCCGACGTAACGTCGACTAGCGGAGTTTCCCGCACCAGGTATCTCCCACCAGCGGGGCATCGCCCGAGCCGGGACAAGCTCTAAGCTTCCAACCATTCTCCCGGCATGTGTGGAAGTGCAGCTCGTGTTTAGTATGTGTAAGGGGAGAGGATACGACGAGAAAGAGGTAGGAAAGATCGCGTGCGGTTCGTGGTCCGATTGTTGGGGTATTACGCTGGCATTCGCCTCTGTTGATCGGAGAAACCACGGAAAACTACCAATTAGCGCAACCTTCCGCTAGAATTTTCCACCAGACAACAGCTGAATTCGACCTAGCTGACAAATTAGTGATGAACATCCTGTCACCGTCGGGACTCGAACCTATGACCTCCCGGTCAAATGGGCTCCAGTGATATCAGTTGATGCCCTGACACACTCATAAATTCTACGAGGAATATTAGAGATGTGACACCAAGTCGCTAGATTTCGGGTGATATCGTTGCTAAATAGTCTGTCAATAAACACTCTCACCAGCAAGCAGCTATGTGCTTATAAATGAATGAACTAATATTCTTACTTACAATATTGATTGAATGCTCCTATCAGATTCACCAAAACATTTACGCAGCCCTTTTTGTATTGGCTTGGTCATGGCCAACTTTAGTAAGCCTTGGCTTTGTTCTTGATACGGCTGAAATAAAAGAAATATATCACGACAATAAGCCATGAAAACAAATGTGCATTAGCATCTCGCAATCCACACTTGTCATTTCTTTTCTACGGAATGTCTTTACCACGTTCCCCCTTTCTCAGGGGTGGATCAATACCTAAGAAAACTAAGTTAAGTGGTTCAGCCCCGCTGAAAAGGGTGCTCCGAAAATCTTATCATACATTTTATAATTATTTTTAAACATTCAAAATATTTTAATATTCATATTTAAAAGAACAATCTTTATAGACAATTTCAGAATTTGTATTGATTGCTTATATTTTTATTGTTACTACTATGTTTCATAATTTGATTATGCTTAGGGTCCCTGAAGGTATTAATCAGGCTCTGGTCCTTCTACTTCCGATCTTGAAGAAATGTCGGCCACAGAGCAAATTAATGCTTTGATGTATTTTCTTCAAAGATAGTCTTGTCGATAAATGATTGCTTGGATCGATGTGTGAATCGTCCACTTAATTCCGCTACGCCGGTTGCTTAATCCGCGACTAATAAGCGCCTGGCAGTAAACTGCCTGCCTAAGAAGACGCGGGAATACACAGGTGCCGCGGCAGCCGACCGGTTCCTTACGCGGCACCTCAACACATCTTTCCCAACGCGCGAGAGAAAATCCTCGTGTTTCGCTCTCCGTTATTGATTGATCTGCTCTGCTCCGCTCGGATTGATGACGGTTCCAATCTTTTTCGCAAACCTTGCTTAGTTTCTATATGCCTGTGGTGAAGTCGGAAAAAGACACCAAAATAAGCAGTGCTTAGTCCGCATCAAAGTTGTCGATGAATAAGCAGCTGTGTCAATCGCGTTTATTGCTTTTTATTGAAAAAAAAAAAAAAAAAAAGATTATATACTTGTCTCTTTAGGTCTTAGGATTGCTCTAGCAGTAAACGTTTACATCACAGCAACAATCCGAAGGTAAAAGTAGTGAGCATGCTACTAGGGGCATTGTTGGAGCCGACAATTCCCCAGCGCGACCAATGAATGCGCGTGACGTGCAACAAAATGAATTCCGATCTGGTTACGGTTTATCGGCCATCTTACCTCAAAGTTATGGAAATGTAAATACATTTTTAACAATCCTGAAAAACAAATTTTTGAACAGGGAGTAAATAAATATTTAAAAAAGCATTTGGTAGATATTGGTTAGGCCGCGACTAATAAGCAGCTGGAAAGATGTGGGAATCCGATGCCGCGTGCGTACAAGCGGCTGGCGTTTCAACCGGTTCTTCTCGTGGCGACTCAACACCCTACGCGCAGGCGTAAA